AAAGGACTCAGTCTATTTCTGGTTACTAAAGGAAGAGCAAAGTTGTGATGGGTCTTGGGTCCGCAGCGAAACTTACTTTATCTCTTATCCCAGTATGCATTACAGGGCTGCAAAAAGTAGATCCACGGACCACATGCGGCCCGCTGGCCGCGGGTTGCACATCCCTGGGTAGAAGCTCCATTTATCATTGTCGTGGCTCTGAAGATTTAGGAAGAAATTGGGAGGAGTCCCACGTGAAGAAAGATTGTACAATTCTGTGAAGACATGACTTTGTTCCATTCTCCTACTTATGTGCGATTCCCCCCCAGTTATGGGCAGCGCCATATTTAAAACACGCTATCTAGTGTTAGTGCACCCAGCGAATGGTCGCGCCTTCTGCGCTCCATTATCCAGAATCGTGATTAATTCTTTATTTCATTTTTGAAGTGGCACAAACGTAATGTACGTTCCTGTCGAAATATCTGCCATGAGGGGCCGTAACCAGGTTTTTTTTTTTATCGAAATCATTACTCGATTATTTTTTTGTGTGCCTAACTTCATATTTCTTCCTGTGCCCCTTTTTGTCATGGGGGGAGATAAATCTTGAAGTACTTCCCTCCCATAATACTGTATGTCTTGAGGAGATATATTTCAAAAGTAGGATTTTTTCTGCACTCAGCAATTGAACAGGTACTTCTGAGCCAAGTTTCAACTTTCTTTTGCTCTCTGTTTTATTGGATTGAAAAAAATCCTGGAATTTTACATTCATTTTACGTAAAATTAACATAAACATGCTGTTTGGGTGTCATGCAACCTGCGTCTTCGGGGGGTTGAGGCTGCAAGCTTAACATGACACCCTATCCAGACTGTTTCTGCCGTTAGGCTTTGAAATTAAATCAGAAAGGTAGTACCTAGCTTTTCAGAGGCAAACCCGGCTTAAGTCTATTACAGGATATATAGATATACAGGTCCCATATACGATTCTTAGTTTGCAATATAGATGGCACCCACATGAATTATTAATTGAAGATTGAGGCGGAGGCTCAGAAGCAGTCACACAATGCCGAAATTTTAGTTGGCGTTATTGTGATTCACATGACAAGGGGAACCCCACTCCCTCTATGCATTGAGCTGGAATTGCCTGGAGTCTCCTTGTTAAGCTAAGTTACGTATCTCAACATATGCATTAATTAGAACGACTTCCTTCCTTTTGTACGTGGGAAATTACCGAGTTGAGGATGAAAGCTTCTGCAGAACCATTCATTAGCATTTGGGGAATAGGGAGAAATACAGCGGCAGGGTGAGCGCGACCTCGTTTATATTGTGAGAACTTTATATTTATTGAATGAACTGCTAGATGTCAGGCTAAATGGAAGGCCTTAACGTGCATGCGCGTCCATCCATGGACTGAACAGATTCCGAATACAATATTTTTTTGCGTATAATTTATATTAGTGTTATATGCATTGCAAA